ATTGTTATAATAAGCACATAGTATGTAGATGAGGAACAGGACTGTAAAATAAAGTGCAACTTAAATTTCATTGGCCAGTGAACCTGTGTATTTTTTACACGTTCGTTGTGCAAATGACAAACTGCATGTCTCTCATGTGTAACTGCATCCAGCTTCCAACAGAGGGCAGCAGATGCAGCAAACTGAAGGCTCAAAGACGGTTATTAGGCAAGGCGAAGTTTATTTATATAGCACATTTCATACACAATGGTAATTCAAAGTGCTTTACATAGAAGAAATTAAAATAATCAAAACAAATACATTTTGTATTACATGAACAATTTACATTTACAGGCCGAGGCATTGAATCCACTCAAACATAGCTGTAAGCAGGGATCATATTTTACAAAACACCAATGCAATTATATCTAAACACCTTTCAGTTTGTTCTGCCAACTCAAGTGCACTTAAATGTAATGGCAAAGTACAACAACATCCATATAAATCCATCATCCAAACCACTTTATCCTTATTAGAGTTGACTTATGCTGCATGTCTTTGGTTTGTGGGGGAAACCGGAGCACCTCCGGAGGAATCCCACACACACACACACACACACAGGGGAGAACATGCTGTACAACCAGCTATTCAGCATTGATATGACTGACTGTATAATTACTCTTCAGAAGCGGAGTATGAAAAGACGGATTATTATAAATACTGTAAAGAATCTGTAATAATGGGTCACATGCTTCAGGGCTAGGATGTGTCTTCAATAAACTCACATCTGCATTTCATTATTCCTGACCTTATACACCCACACATACACTCATGTTTCAGTGAAGCAGAGCCCTCAGAAATGATATGTGATGTATGTGAAATATTTTGGCCAGAGTTATATTTGAGTGAGTTTTTCTACAATGATCTCATGCAACATTTCTCTCTGTGTTGTTTATGTTCAGTGATGATATTCATACTATAAGCAGTTCAGATTGAGATGAAGACCTTATAATTGTATTGCTCAGATGTTGCTTTTCCATATCTAAGGGGATTTAATGAAATTCTAATTGATCTTTTATTAAAAAATAAGACGAGTAATGATGCTGAAAATTCAGCTTAAATAAATTACATTTTAACATATATTCACATAGGAAACAGTTCTTTTAAATTGTAATAATATTTCACAATATTACTGTATTTCACTCTACTGTATTTGATCAAATAATTGCAGCCTTGGTGAGCAGAAGAGATATTAAAAAATCTTACTGACCAAAAACCTTTGATATCAATGGTACTGAATGACTACAATAAGATACCAGGGTTTTACATAGTACTGTGTGGTACTTCAAAAAATACCATGGTTTACAATGACATTTCGGATATTCAGTTACTGTAACATTACCTGTGTGGGACACACATCATCTGACCATTACAGAAACTCAGAGCAGAACCTACAGGTTCAAAGCAGAAAGCACTGAAGTCACTCAAATACACAGGACTAATAATCAGACTGACAGATAGACAGAAAGATACACAGACGGACGGACGGACGGATGGATGGCCAACTTGAGGAGTTTAATTCCGAAAAGACAGTTAACCACAGGTTCCCGTTAATATGTGTTGTGATATTTAAACAAACGAACCGTCAACGGCGAAATAAAAGGTACAAAGCAAAAATTCCAGTGTTAAATGATCTCTCCTGTGTTCAAGTGTGTTAAAGTTAATGAGCTAATTAAGTGATTCATTGAGTGATGATTGAGCATTATTGAAGACACCTGATGTTAACAAGCAGAATCACTGAAGGAGAAAATCGCATTTTTTAAGACAAATTATTGTTATCAGTGTTTGCTTTAGTTGGGCTCTTGACTTTTAAAATGATTACTTTAGATTTTGTTTGGCTGTTGTAGCTCAGTTATAACTGCCAGATGAACAAAGAGAATTGTTGATCAGATGGTGATGGTTGATGTTTTGACATAATCATAATTTGATCTGAATCACAAATCTCATTTAGAGAGTTTTTACCTTGTTGATTACAGTAGTCTTTGATTCTACAGCAAATGGTTTTTAGCATATTCAATATAATCGAAAAAATTTTTTTTAAAGTTGTTCTGATTAAATGACTTTGAAAATGTTTTTATTTAATGTCTATATTTAGACACATTGAAATCAATAATTAGCCTGTGATTCTCAACAATGGTGACAATAATAAAGCATGTTGCAGTGCATTCTGGGTGCCACCAATCAAAACTCATTCATGGCTCCCATCATGCATTGCGGTATGAATAAATTATTATCTGAATTGTTTTAGTAATTTCCTTTCCCTAATTGAATATTCTGTTTGTCACCATTGTTGAGACTCATACACCGATTATTGATGTCTGTGTGTGCCTAAAAGGAAGATTTTGTTTTATCAGAACAACTTTTTAGAAATCCTTTAGATTATTTAGAAATTTCTGGATCTTATGCTGTAGAATCACAGTGATGCTGGAATCAACAATATACATTTAAGTCAGAGATTAAACTCTAAATGAGTACAGTGATTCAGATCAAACTATGATTATGTCAAAACATAACCAACAGATCAACTTTTCTCTTTCTTCATCTGGCAGTTATTACTCAGATACAACAGACAAACTAAATCTAATGTTAACAGTTTAAGGTCCAACTAAAGCAAA